TGCTGTGATTGAAAAAGGCTTCAATAAACGGAGAAAAAGAATTTTCCCGCGTCTTAGCGACGCAGTACTCGTTCCCGTATCTTAGGGAACCGAGGTTACGTTAGTAACCGAGTACGTTAACCAGCACAGCTGTAGTAAAAAAGTCCTTGGGACTGCTGTCAAATGTAGTTTAGCACTCATTACACACACACACACACGTCTGGTTCACTATCCTTGTAGGGACTCTCCATAGACGTAATGGTTTTTATACTGTACAAACTTTTTTCTATTGCCCTACACCAACCCTACACCTAAACCTGCCCCTCACAGGAAACATTCTGCTATTTCAGATTTTCAATACACTCCATTCTGTGATTTTTAAGCTTGTTTCCTCATGGGGACCAACCAATAAGATAAGAAGATAAGATTGTAGGTGGGGGGAGTGAATGTACAGCGCTCTCTCCCACCTTCAATACCACGACTGAGGTGCCCTTGAGCAAGGCACCGAACCCCCAACTGCTCCCCGGGCGCCGCAGCATAAATGGCTGCCCACTGCTCCGGGTGTGTGTTCACGGTGTGTGTGTGTTCACTGCTGTGTGTGTGCACTTTGGATGGGTTAAATGCAGAGCACTAATTCCAAGTATGGGTCACAAGACAAGATAATAAGAATACCAGTAAACACACAATCAAAAGTCATTGGTGACTGACAAAGTATTCCAGAGAACAGTGAAATAAATCTCAATGTCACCTTTTTAGTTTAATTAAAGAAAAAGAAGAAGAAGAAGAATATTATTATTATTAAAAGAGAAAAGGGAAGAAAGTAATTACCGAGAAGCAGAAACTAATGTCCTTAGTAAGCTAATCTGAGCTGTTTCTCCATTGAATCAGTGAATCTTTTTTCTATTGTGAAGTTATATGCAATATCGAGTATCATAGTGTCACACAAGTTTAAGGAACAAGGACACAACAGTTTCGTTCGATACAATATTTAGTATTTTCTAGATTACAGTTGTGATTTAGCCTGCACATTGCTCAAGGTTGATGCCAAGGTTGATGAACAAGGACACAACAGTTTCGTTCGATACAATATTTAGTATTTTCTAGATTACAATTGTGATTTAGCCTGCACATTGCTCAAGGTTGATGCCACGTTTCATTCATTATGAATCATTATATATTCTGCAACAAATAACACATTTTGCTCTGCATGAAGGATTGCAACAGCACAACATAAACAACAGTTAATTCTTCATCATAAGAACTATTATGAAGCATTTATTCTTGTCACTTATGATGCACCTCGCATCAAGAACATCATCCAGTGAGGGCTGGGTGTCTTTTACTCTTTCACACAGACAGACACACACACACACACAGGTTTGTTTTTGTGAAAAGTGGGGACATCCCATAGGTGTAATGGTTTTTCTACTGTACAGACCGTATATTCTATTGCCATTCACCAACCCTACACCTAAACCTACCCCTCACAGGAAACTTTGTGCTATTTCAGATTTTCAATACACTCCATTCTGTGTGATTTATATGCGTTTTGAAAAGTGGGGACATGGGGTAATGTCCTGAAAAGTCACCTTCTCCTTCTAATACCTATGTCATACCCTTGTCATTATACAAATTTATGTCCTCATTTGTCACAAAAACGCACACACACACACACACACACACACACACACACACACACACACACACACTAACACACACACACACTAACAAACACACACAGACACACAGATGAGGGAATCCCACTGCAGACTCCTGCAGTCTCCTCCTGTCTCTCTTTGTTGATCTGCAATGCAGTGCCAGGCTTCCCCAGCTCTCTCTCTCTCACACACACACATACACACAGCTATCCTCTGCAGTATGTGCGGTAATATCCTCCTCTCGGTGTGTTTGGTCTTTACCGGCTCATAAGAGCGTCTCAAGCAGCGCCATACCGCCCCTCACAGAGTGGAAAAGACACTGCAGGGAAGCGCCAAGAGCAGCTACAATATTCCAGATTTCATCTTAAAATCGAAAAATAAAGAAATAATAATTCAATTGTAAAAATAGTGTTCATTTAAAATCATTTAAAATAAGTGTTTTCTATGTGAATATCTGTTAAACTGTAATTTATTCCTGTGATCAAAGCTGTATTTTCAGCATCCTGTCTTCAGTGTCACATGATCTTCAGAAATCATTCTAATATGCAGATTTGCTGCTCAAGAAACATTTCTGATTATTATCAGTGTTGAAAACAGCTGTGCTGCTGAATAGTTTTGTGGAAACCGTTTTTTAAAACAATTCAATATTTTATTGCGCAAGGATGCATGCAATTTATCAAAAGTGATTATAAAGACTTTTATAATGTTACAGAATATTTCTATTTCAAATAAATGCTTTTCTCTTGAACTCTCTGTTCATCAAAGAATCCTGAAAAAAAAAAGTTCCTTCGGTTTCCTCAAAATATCAAGCTGTAAAAACTGTTCTCTGTAAAAACAAGCACCATTATTATTAACTAAGCACTAATAACTACACAGCAAATCAGCATATTAGAATGATTTCTGAAGATCATGTGACACTGAAGACTGGAGTAATGATGCTGAAAATACAGCTGCGCATCACAGAAATA